AGAAAAGCAGATGTTTACGGCTGATACTGATTAACTTCACTGATAAACTTATGGAAATTGCTTAACCTCCAGTAAAGTTATGTAAAAAATGTCGGTAGGTGATCAATAGCATGTGGACGAACACCACACCTACTAAAATGCTGACTATAAAACTGAACGATAATATGTAACTTTCAACCAGTTGAAAATTCCGAATAGCGGAAGAGGTATGCTCTGAAGAAAATGATGCTACAAGTTAGATCGATGCGCTTCTTCTTGTGGTGTAGGTCAGTCCTGGTGTCAATTTGTAGACAAATTAAAGTTAAAGTTCAAGTGTCTTCCAGTGGGTAACGAGCTAACAAGCTTCTCAATAGGTTCAATCTCGACTCACTAAAAATGTGGACGCGAAATAATCCCTGAAGTCGTTGTTATCAAAAACCAATGCTAGGTTTTTTTTATAGAAACCCTTTTTGTAAGAACGTACAGGCTGAGATTAAAGTAAATATTAAGAACATACCCCAGCTGAGAGTGAGTTAATTAAGGACGGCTCTTTATTTATAATTTTGGTAAGAAGTTAAATTAAAGGTAAATAAAAGTGTGGTCTAACAGGACAATTAACTCAAATACTTGAGGGAAGTTTTTAACATAAACAAAGCAGTTATTGTACGATACATTGAGGAACAACTCAGTTTGTAGTCGAACTTAGTTTAGTCTCGTCCAATTACCACACAAAGTTAAGAACACGTTAGGAATGTTTTCAGACTCAAATCGCGCAAAAAGTAAGAACACCCAGCGTTAGCACCAAAATCAGACGTTCTTATATAAAAAGAGAGTGTTTTTTTAGATTTTAATTGAATTTCTCACGATTTCCAGCACGGTTGAAACGCGAAATTTTAAATTAAAACAGATCTGGTTAGTGGTGTGGTTGCTTTCACTGATAATTGTTTTTGAAATTTCCTAGCCTCTGGTAAAGTTATTATGTAAAGAGGTGGGTAGATCGATGACCAATGGCTTGTAGACGAACACTACATCCTATTTGAATTCTAAGTATAGAAATGAAAATAAGCAAATTTAAACAAGTTTTACATTCCAGATCGGGAAGGAGAAAAAGAGAGAAGAGAGAGTTGTGAAGAAAATGAGGCTGCAAGCTCAATGTTATTCCTGGCTCGATCATTGTGCTTCTTTTTTTAAAATACCGAAAAACACGCTCTACGTGTAGATATCAATTTGTAGACGAAGGTAAAGTTTAAGTGTCTGCTAAGGGGTAACTAACTAATACGCTACTCAGTAGGCTTCAGTTTCAACTCACTCATGCACTGAACTTTTCAAATTGCTGATTTGTATCCAAGGAACTCCAATAATTGTTAGCTCAAGGTGAAAGGTTACACACCTTTATTTTTCCGCTGTCTGTATTCATGTCTGACCTCCATGCGCACTGTTTCCAATTGGCCAACTGTCTTGGGTCAATATTTGCCGCATCTCCTTTCTGTCCCCTTGTTCCAGTCATCCCTGTTTCTCCTTTGAGTCCTTTGGGACCCCTGGGGCCAGTCACTCCAGGGACACCCGTACCACTTACACCTTTGCTTCCTATTTCTCCTTTAGAGCCTTTGGAGCCTCGTGGACCAATTTTCCCGGGGACTCCTTCATTGCCCTTTTTCCCCGTGTTACCGATTTCTCCTTTTTCTCCAGTCAGCCCTTTGTGTCCCCGGGAGCCTCTTGAACCAGGTTTACCGGAGATTCCTGCATCTCCTTGCCGACCCTTTTCCCCCGTGTCGCCACTTCTTCCCGGCGGACCTGAAGGACCTGGTGAGCCTGGTACCCCAGGGGTTCCTGGTATTCCGTTGGATCCAGGCATTCCCTGCATTCCAGGCAGTCCTGGCATTCCACACGAAGAGCACGGCTATCATCAGAGAGGAAAGGAAAATGATTTTTTTAAGCTACAGATTGAATTCGTTTTTAACGTTAGCTTTCTGCTTTTTCATTGATGAACAGATGATGATCGGCCTGGCATTGTGACTTTTGATATTTGTTTATTTGGCGTGTGAGTAACATTGCGATCAAAAAGCTATCACGTTAGATCATAGCAAGACTTTATCATGGCAACATTTAACTGAATTATCACGTTGGATCATAGCCCAGTGTTTTTGGCCTAAATGGAAACCAAGATGTGGCTTTCATTTAGCGCAAGGACGAAACAAAAACTGAAAAATACTCCAAGTCTGCTCTGGGCATCGGTGGAATCTGGCCATGCAGGAAGTTTCTGGCAATCGTTTATTTTACCGTATGATACTTTCTTCTTCTTTTCCGTATTTTAATGCGCTAAATTGCTTTATTTGTTGAAAATTTTCTATGTGCTATCCTCTGATGCACTTCACTCGTGCTATTTATCTGTGAAAAACGGTACTGGTCATTGTCAAGTAGAACTGTCAAAATAATTGAAAAAATGACTCGCTTGACCAAGTTAACAGCCAGTGCTTACCTTGCATTGTGATGATGAAACATTCCTTTGAAGTTCGTTGGCATTTGTTAATAAATACATAAGAGAACTGAAAGTGATGAGAGCCAACAAGGAGACACCCTGCATAGCTGCGTTATATTGAATGCTGTTGATTATAAACTTGTCAGATCTTCAATGTACTAGCAAACAAAACATTTGAACGTAGACAACTTATTCCTTATAATATAACACAGATTAGCCTCAGCTCGTCTCTGCAAGACAGGAACATCATTTCATTTGAAAACGATAATGATTGGTTGCTGTTCATGTGTACGTGGTTAACATATCACTTGCATCAGCGCAATGGGAACAGACGAACTAACGTATGACTCGCGTTCTCNTCTAGTCGCAGGGAATTCAAACTGGTTTGAGTTTTTGGGACAAGTTCCTGCGACGTGTTGCTCAAAAACGCTTCGGTATCACAATTTACAGAAGCGATTGCGTGAATTCCGGGACAATTACTTTGATGATTCCTCCCCGAGACCTAACCAGTTTTGAAATAATTTACATGATTACTGGAAATCTTGATCGAATTTTCGCCCCTTTTTGCTTCTGTATTGGCCACATCTGATCGGTAACAAACCGTTATTTTCCGCTTAAATCCGAACTGAATCAGAAACAATTCAAGTACTGAATAATTTCGCTGAACAATCTGTAGTTTTCACTGAGCTGATTTACTTCAATGCTACTTTGCTATTTTAATAATTTTGGTTTCTTAAGAAAGCTACTGAGTGAAAGAATGATACCGTTTGCCCCCAGCTACTTACCTGTGCAATTGGTCCCCGCGTGTAAACACCACTAGTGACTAGTCCCTACGACCAGTCCCTTCGTGTAAACTTTTCAGGGGACTAGTTGCAGGGAATAGTCGCAGAAACTAGTCTCCCCGTTTGTGCCGATCTTTACCCTTGTTTGTGACTTGGTGATGGCAGGTGCTACCACAGTACTTCAAAGATTACGCTATTAGAGGAGTACGATGCAAAAATCTTTAACTGAATGTCCTTGTTTGATCCGTTAGCCAGAAAAAAACAACAAAAAACAAACAAACAAATATATAAACAAATTAAAGAAAGATTGAGACGATCTCCCTTTTAAGTCACTTTGAACACTGAGGTTGCCAGTTTAGAATTTTGCCGCTAAGTACCAGCCAATCATATACTACAAGTGACATTATAACTTTGCAACGTTCTTTCCGACATCTTACTCGAGAGATTATAAACTTTGGAGACATTCGTCGAAAATGGAAATGTCCCATTTACAGGTCGGGGATAATATTGATGATATCAATGCAAACCCCCTGGGGGGAGGGGTAAGATATCCAATTTGAACTTCAAAACGAATAATCGGTGAATAACGAAATAATTCCAATTCATTGTTAGTGATTCAAAGTGACTATATAGAAAGGCTGGAGAAATATCACAATAAAAACAACGTTTTAGTTTTGGAGCTCCCAAAAATAGCACACGTTTTGTTCCAGTGATGACCCTTATTGCTTGAATTGAGGATAGTAAGTAATTGACAACGTAACGCAAAGTGATCGAAATGTGATTGAGCTCCGTGTACGGACTGATCTCTGCTTTCCCGTCTTTCCTCGCCCCTGCCTCCCCTGTCCCCCTCCCAGCCTCTAACGAAATAAAAACTAATAACAATGACGTGTAACAAAGAACTCTATGACTAGGTGTTCAAACTATTCACCTCTAAAGATTACAGTTAAACCGCTACAATCGGTCTTTTTGCTGGCCATCTTAAAATTTACGCCACGCGGAACTCTCGGTAAATATCAAACTAGGACTTTTTATTGTAGTCTTTGCAAAATTCCAACATTCTCGAAAGATCCGAAAATTTAGTTGGAGTGCGAGTGGTTACTCAGAGATCTCCCGTTTTCAGATATGGTAATGTCTGATCAAGGGAGTAGAGCAAGAAGACCACCTCCAAACTTTGAACCGAATTTGAAGTAACTTTGTTATTTTTTTCCTATTTCAAATCTAAACAGATGTAAGTGCGCCTCACCCCACCCCCTGTAGCGCAGTTAAAACTCATGTATATCACATCCCTTTAATGAGGAAACAGCTTAAAGAGAGCATATCCAATAGTAGCGAGTATTCTTTTGATATTTTATTTATAATAATACGCAGTTTGCAAAGAGACAAAGTTGATTCTCTAAGTATCTTTCTATTGCTACTCTAAGCAACTTAGTTTCCCCCTCAGCATTATTATTAAAAAAAAGTTACTCTTAAGGTATTCTCCTTAATGTGTTTCCCTTACACTTATTGAATATTCAGCTCTGATGACAACAGGACTACTGCGATGGTGGTACTTCTTCAATTATAATCCGAGACGCTGAATTATATCCCGTGTAAGCGTCACCCAGTGTGCACACATAGCATTAGCTAGCACGTACCTACCCAGAGTTCAACCTGTACCGTGCCCCGCGGGAGATTCACACAGAAACCTTCAAAGGGATGAAGATAGTGGAGGTTGAGCGTTGAGCTGATGGCATAGTTGGTGTGAAGGATTGAGTCAATCTGTAAGGGATCACTGCATTCATTGTCATTAAAATGTAAATACCATCTGTTGCATTTTGTCATCAGAATTGTACGCTACAATGTTGCCCAGGGGCTGATACTAGCTTTAAGGGTCATACAACTGAAAGAGCATCCCTGAAGAAAATCGTATGAAAGACAGGAAAATAAGTTGTGTTAGAATACTTATCTCCGATCTACACAGACTATTTATCGCACTGAAAAAAATGTGGATAGGAGTTCTGTTCTTTGAAAATCGGTTTTATGTATTAGACTTAAATTGTATTTTCCTTCGATCACCAGCTCTTCTAGTTCGTCTAGGCTTGCATCAGTTATTCAGGTTTAAACGGGGCCACGTGTGAAAAGTAGTCTGGGTACACATGGAATATATTTGTAACCCTGAAGAAGAAAAAATGCCTCAAAAAGGTTATTGGAAGGAATCAAATTATATATGCTGAAAATCGACATTTAAAAAAAGGACAAACGGTCAAATTAAAACAAAACTGGCAGTTTCTGGACAAGATCTAAATTTGCAGAAAGACGACCGTTTACCGGACTCTGAGGAAGATTTAAACATTCCTGCACAATCCAAGCTCTTAAGGGACTGGTCATTATTCGTTCCCTGTGGGAGGGGGAGGTTGGAAGATTTTGGTTATGTCGCGATAAAAATGACCAGTTGTGCGATTTTCGCATGATTCCCCCGCCTCACTGACAGTTAATTGGCATTTATTTATCCCTTATACTCTAATCCTAAACAGATCCACCCTCCTTTTCCCCTGAAACCCCTGTAATCATGCTCCCAAACTACCCCAACCCCCCTCCGTCACTCTGTAATCAAAGAATGGGTGGTTCCTCAGGCTTCGAAAGTTTTCTGATGAATTCCAGCCTCCTGAACTTCTAATAGACTTTGTGATAAGGACCCCTCCCCACTCTGCAGAGATAAAAACTGTGAATGAGATTCATATAACACTTTTTTCATCAGGAAACATCCAACAGCAACTGAATTGAGATGCTTTCCAATTTTATTTGAATGAAAGGCAGTTTTTGCCAAATCACAATGTTGAACCGCTACACATATTTAGCTATCACATTTTAGTTTAATTTTACATTACTTTTTAGTTCGAGTACAAACATGTTTCCCCTAACAATGTTAATTGACTTCTGATGATAACAGGACTACTGGGATGGTGGTACTTCTTCAATCATAATCCGGGACACTGATTTCCATCCTGTGCAAGCGTCAGCCAGTCTTTCTCCAGAGCACTTGCCTACCCACAGCTCAACCCGATGATGATTGGTGACTGTTCACGTGTACGTGGTTAGCATATCACGAGCATCAGCGCCATCGGAACAGTCGGGCTAAAGCAGGATTCACGTTCTTCTTTTCTGTTTCTTAATTCTCCTAAAAGACAATTGGATGTTTTTGAACAAGCAATTGACCTCTGGCTGAATTAATTTTCTCAAAGTTTACATTAGTAAAGAGCACTTACTGTTCCTGGGAGATGAGTTAATCTTTAAAAAAATCAAAAAAGCCATACTTTTCTCGTTTCAAAGTCAAGGTAATAGTATTCAAATGTGAAGTTCTTCTGATGATTTTAGGATCGAAACAGAAGAATTTCGGAGTCGCCTACTTCCGGCTAACTCTATGTACTTTGATAGGATTGAACACGATTCCCATCTGAGACACAGCGATTGGATATTCGCTTGAACTCTCTCTTGATATCACTTGCTTCACCGCGCCAGGTACTTGTGCCATAGAGATGCTCACACTCGCTTCAAGTAAGTCGTCCTTTTCCACATCCTCTCTTGGCCTCTGGTTTGTTTTCCTGAAATATTTTCCAGTTGATCTCAGCAACTCTTATATATATAAAAGAAAGTGTATTGGATTTTAATTAGATTTTTTTTTAATTAATTTTTTTTTTTAAATTTTGGACTTTCACCCAGTTGGAGCTTGCTCTGTTGTGATTGTTCCTCACTGAGCTTTTTGCTTTTAGCTTTTCGTTTTACTATTGAGCTTATTTATCCTTCTTCTTCTTATTATTTTTTTAACTCAGTAGAAGTTTAATAAATAAATAAATAAATAAATAAAAAGATTACCAGCCCCTATAACATCGATTTGGCTGGTTAAAAGGGAAAATCATCTGATACTGGACTGTCGTAAACTGATTTAATTGGAACAACAAACTCTCTCGCTTAAAAGGATTATTGATGACTGAAGATCAGTAGTCTTGACTGCTAACAATTTTCCGTTGTAGTACGGAAATGGCATGTTTCAAGGCGACACGCCTTTAAACATGCCAATCTTAATAACGCGTTCTCCTATTTCTTGACGACAATGTACAAATCACGACAGGACATTCTCAACTGTAAATACTAAAGTTAATTTGTAAAGAAAGGTACATCCAATTTTTGTTCCCCAGCGGTTGCCATGCGAGGCTCAAGCTCTGCCGGGTTGGGATAACTGTGTTGTTGGTGAGAGAAGGTTCGTGAGACTTAAACGGTTAATCTTCGCTACTGATTTATAAATGTAAAGGGAATATCATACATTCTGACATTAAACGATTGGCC